GTAAATAAATTCTGAGGTTGGATTTTTTTTTACTGGGTTGACCCCCCCCCCCCCCCTTTGGAAAATATTTGGACGACAGAAACTAAGTACCTGAGTAAATAAAACAAATGAAATGAATAAAACAAATCCTTTTCAACTTTGTATCTCTTTAGTGGCAGAGAATGAATCATCAAGCGACGAAATCGAAGGAGGTAAAGATGCACAGACACAAGCACAGAGAGAAGGTTGGCGAAAAATAAAATACATATATTCATAATATTTTTTTATTATCTATTCAAAATAATTTTCTTATATATAATTACGAGGGGTTATCAAAATGTTCGTGGACTGAGGCTATAGAAGTAGTATTATGTATAGTCTATACTTTCAAAATTTATGATGGACATAAAGCAACAAAAAATAAAGAAATGTTGAAAATTTTAGCTTGATTCGTTCAATTTTTGCTAAAATATGATAAAATAAAAAAGACATTATATGGTTACCCGGCGCCGTCGCCGTTTAGTTTCATTACGTCCCTCAACGTCATTTTTTTTCAAAGTCCGCTTCTTCTACCTCATACTTTTAATTTAATGAGATTCCCTGTAGTTGAGTAAGGACTTAAACCCGTCTTGTTTTTATGACTTTACGATGTCAGGAACAGCGGCTTTAAATGCATATAATATTGCAAATGGACTGATACATTGGGAGAGATCCTCGCTCGATTGTGCCAGCATATTTTGCGTTTGTGATTTTAATATCTACAACATATGATCAACGTCATTTTTTGACGTGAATGATTTTTCCCACCTTGAATAAGAATCGATATTAAATGTGCATCCCTTTTCTCCCTGAACCTCTGTTGCATTAATAAACAAGTACTCTGGATGCATTTAATTTCTCCATATATAGCCAGTTTAAACATTTCCTAGGTCTATACCACTTTTTTCAGGGCCAAAACTTTATAGAATGTTAGAAAATGAAACCGCTCCCCCCTTTTGACGTCATTTTCAAGGACTTATTTGTTTAGACACTCCATGTCAAATTTACGATAAATTTTCATAGAACTTTCAGAATGAATTGAAAACTTAATATTTTATTGAGCAATAGTGTCCCAACATATACCTGAATTAATCAGATTTTTGGATGTCAAATGTTCATATCAAAAGAGTTTTTCTTAGTTATGCTTCGGTCGAGGTTGCGCCGACTGGACATACCATAGCTTACAAAAACATTACTAATTTATTTAAAAATAAAATTTATGATCTGCGGTTTATTCTATGATGCTAATCAGATATTCTAAAATTCGTTGATGTACCTAAAGCAGTTTTAATTTTATGGTGCCAGTCCACGAACTTTTTGATAACCCCTCGTATATACATCATACGTATATCATCAATTTAATTTACAAATCATTTCTCCACTTCATTTTCATTGTTGCAGAAAATGATCCCGTAATGGAAGATACCATGAAAGGTAATTATTATTTGTAAGAAGCAAGTGGGTTTAAATAAAAGGAAAGTCACAATAACGGGTGGACATAATATTTATGCTCTTCTAAGACGAAGTGTTTTTTTTTTAGATAATTAGTAAACTATTCCAAAGTACATTCATATTTTGTAAATTAATTTGTGCAACATAAAGTGTTTACATAATTTAATTTTGACAATATCTTACGGACATAAAAATGCATACTGTGCAGGCTCTATTACAGTAAACTTTTCCCTTACACGGTTAGTTATGTGAAGGTTGGAAAAGGGGTAACAGATCAGATTACTACAGTATTTATCACATTATATTGAGTTAATTATTTATACTGGGCACAATAACTGTATTATTTAAGAAAATGTTGGAAGTAAAGATCGTTTCTTTTATCATTTTTTTATTCAGTAAGATGCTAAAGAGCATTTTATCATTAAAAAATTAAAAAATGACGGTATTTTTTAAAAAAAGAAAGTTGCTTTTAATATCAACTGAATAGGAAAAACAAGCTCTAATAATTGCGTTCAAGGTAAGAAAATTCGAAATTTGCATCAAATTACTATGTATGTTTAAATATACATTACAAATTATGGCTATCACATTCAAGATCCATGCTTTATCCAATTTAAGGATTTTTCTTTAAAATTCATGTAAAATACTAACAAGAATAGAACTTTAATACATAGAGTAAAACAGATGAAATTCCTTAAAGTAGGTATACGTGTATTTACACAAAGCATCAAGGTATACTTCCAAAACTTTCTTTTTTAATTTTTAGACACCATTGCGAAAGAAATTTTAGCCGAATACACCATTGAAAACGCTCAGTTGTTCAGTCTTTTAAAACAACAATGCAAAATTGGAGGATACAATGGGTTTTATCACCTACTTTCTTCACGGGTAAAAAAGAAGGACTATAGAAAGGACATTTTGCGAAAAAGAGACGAGGATGGTCTTACACTACTTCATTATGCTGCAATTGGAGGTTCAACTCGAATATTTGATGATATTTTAGAAACTGACAAAAGCCTGGAAGTTGATGTTAAATGTAACAGAGGTCAAACGGCTCTGCACTATGCAATAAGAGAAGGTCAAGAGGAAATGAGTATTTATCTGATTACAAAATATGAGGAACTGCTTTGTGGCATCAAAACTGATACAAAACAAAGACTTGAAATTCATGAAGATTCAGAAAAGAAAATTACTCCAAGCTTTGAACCAATCCATTGGATTGCATGGATTGGTAAATTAGACCTTCTGGAAACTATGAAAAGGAGAGATATGAACACACCGTCATGTCTTGATATGGCAAAAACAACAAAAAATGGTCTTAATATTTTACACATAGCTTGCTTGGCAAATGATAATAATTTCTGTAAACATGTAATTGAGAATGAAAATCAAATTGATATTTTTACAACAGACACCTGTGGATGGAACGCTGCTCATTTTGCTGCAAGAGCAAATAACTATGCCTTTTTTGATATACTTAAACAATGTAAAAAAGAAAATCTTATTGAAATCAAAACCAAAAGTGGAAAAACAACTTTACATATAGCTTGTGAATATGCAAACGAAAATGTCGTTGATTTCCTGCTGAAAAATCATAAAACACTTTTAAATGAAGCCGATGAACTGGAATGGAATGCACTTCATTATGCAACAAAAGGTGGGAATCTAAATATTTTGAAAAAATTAATCTTTTGTGGATTGAAAATTACTTCCCTCACTATCGAAGGGAAAACTTTACTTCATGTAGCATGTATTCATAAACAAGTGAACATTTGTAGTTATGTAGTTAATGAATTTGTAAAAGCAAAACGAACCGATCTAATAAATAAAAAGACAACGAACTACAAGTGGCTGGCTGTGCACTATCTTGGTGTTGAAAGAACAGGACATGGCAGAGAAAAGGCTATTCTTGACATTCTCCATGAATGTAACATGGATTTGAAAGGTGGGACAGGTGATGGACATAGTATTCTTGATATAGCTGTGGTACATGTAAATGAAGAACTAGTAGACAGTATACTCTCAGAAAAATACATTAAAGTTATGGATATTGACAAACAAAAGCTACAAAAGGCATTTAAAAAGACAAATAATGAAAGAATTAAAATGATTATCAAAAAAGCTCTTGAAAAGCTGTAATTCGCATAGGAAATATTATAAGAGAGCAAGACTCTACTTCGGACATTTTACCGTTATAACTGGATACAGATAACTGGTAACGAAGTATAATTGAAACGGGTGAAATGTAAATCGGCATTTGCAAGCCTAAGAAATTGTTCTTGATTGTTGTTATTAAATTTTAACTTTCTGTACACATTTTTTTCTTTGCGTAGATTTAATTTTGTTGTTTAATATCAGTAGTAACAAAACATATCTTACCTAAAGTTGATTACAAGCATTGTAAAAGTACATAACTCTATAAAAGATCCCCAATCTTTTAACAATTATTTAAAATTTATTTCTTAAGAAGAGAAACGGTGCTCTCAAAAACAAGGTTCTAAATGATAGTCGGTACACATCAGATGAGAAAATAGTTTCCTGAGCATGATGATTTTTGTCTAAATACATGTACATCGAATCAAGAACTAAAGATCATTATATTACTATCCAAAGAGAACATCCTCTAGTATATTTCGTCACACTCACAGTACAGTGAATATTGACCACATGTGTAAAAACATTCTTTTACTCAAATAAGCAAGTTCAGAATTTAGAAAATCTTTTGCAAAGATGCTTAAAGCAACCAATCCAACCTCCCTCTTTCTCACGAGATAGATACATTGTCGACTTTCTTTCATAAAAATAGCAAAAAATGAAGTCTGAACAAAGTGTTAAAATCGAAGACTTTGTTTGAACATTAATTAACACCGTATAAGTGGAAATTTTAGCGAGACGAAAAATTAGCGATTTATCCTTAAAAAGTAGTATTTTATTTTTAGCGAGATGCAATTTTAGCAATTTACCGGGTAAGAATTCTCACAAAAGAAGCTACAAGAAATAAAATGCAATTAATTTTTAGCGAGATTCAATTTTAGCGATCTCAGCACCCTCGCTAATAATGCCAAAATTAAATGCTCGGTAAAATGTCTGCTTATACGGTATGATGAAATTAAAAAAAAAATGATTCAAGTAAATATCAATTATCGACAGGATCTTTGATTTTATCAAACCAAATTACATGTATTCTACCCATACAAAACTGACCAGTCATGGTAAATGATATTTCACAAGTGTGTTTACTATTTCGTTTATTTTTTAGTCTATGCATGCCGAAACTATTATTATGTTCCGTACAGCTAAAATTACACTGGCTGACTTCGATCATGAACTTGAGTAACTGATGTTGAACAAGAGTAACATCAAACCCGATATAGTTTAACTGGAGTGACGTAATTTTTCTACCATAGTTCTACCCGTTGGGAGAACTATGGTAGAAAAATTACGTCACTCCAGTTAAACTATATCGGTTTTAACAAATATTAGAAGTCAAAAGCATTTATATCATCAATTCACAAAATCAGGCACAATGTTTAGATGGAAATGCATATATGATGATATTTACCAAGACCTGTTGTTTCTAAGTCAAAGTATACAAATGTATGCTGCCCAGCTGCTATGGGTGTTGGAATGGGTTTGTTAAGAGGAGGGGGTATTTCTGTATTGCTGATGTTGGCATCAGTTTCATATGTGATCCCCTCTTTCACTGCTGATGATACTTGACTTTTCTTGCTCTCGGCATTTTTCAATGCTCTTCTTTTCTTGTACTCTTCTGTATCTTTTTTGTCTTTGTCTTTCTTTCTTTTCAAGTCTGTTTTCATGGCAATTGTGCCGGTCACTTTCCCAGGTGAAAGAAACAATTTTTCATTTACCTGAAATGAAAAAGCTTCAAAATTTTATTTCTAATACATGTAATCTTATTTACCTAAAGTTCAAGCTATAATATTTCCTGTAAAACTACTAAATAAAGTATTTCATAAAACAATACTGTGGTTATTATCACAACTTGATGTAGAACGTGTATTTGAAAAGAAATTCATAATTTCAATAAAAATTATTTTCCAATTTACCTGTAATATATACTGATGACCCAATCTTTTTGGGCAACTGCTGCAGCTACACTAAAATCGTTGCTCTCTGAGCCAGACTAGAATGTCTTGCTTGCCACAGTATTATTGAAACTTTCACTGGGCTGGGTACTTCCTAAATCCACCAATCTATCAGCCTGTGAAATGTAAAAGTCAACTATGGATGTCAGATCAACTTTCAGTCCTTCGTTGGAAAGATAGCGGTGGTATGACAACTGAAGGGGTTTGTAAGTTGTTGGTGATGATACATAGCCACACCAAGATCCACACAAGCTGTGATTACCAAATACATGTTTGGTTATGGCCTCAAAGTTCTTCCTCATACCATCCAAGTCATGTTGATTTTGGCTGACACAATATCTGAAGCACTTTGACAAGTGACTTATTGTCTTAAAATTTAGTTCCTTATAGTTTTTACACTTTTTCAGAGCATACAGTTTGTTCGTGAATTGTTTCAGTGTGTGATTGTTGTCACTTTGTTTCTTCAAAGCTGGGATTACCTCAGTACGTGCCCTTGCTATGGTGGTAGTATCATTGTCCATGATGATAGTTCCGACATGCGCATTCTATAAATTTTCTCTTAGATTTTTCAGCATTCCAATGCACATGTCTGGCTCCATAGCTTTGGAAACCCCCGTCCAATTTTTCCGACAGTCATGAGTTGATGGGGTCTTCCCCGTTTTTCTGCAATTTGACATATTCTGCAGCATCCGTTGTGTGTTGCAAAATGTACAATTTTGCCAGTTTTTCTACCTATCATCGCTGCATGACCTACAAATATGAACTTACATATGAATTTCACAGTAATATATATTTCCTTTTTCAAACATGTGAAATAATGTATAAAGTCTTTGACTTTGTATTATTTGAATACATTATCTCAAATCTTTCAATAGGACCTACCCGATAAACTTGAAAAGAACGCCCTGATCCCCTCTTCTGCCATCCGCCATCAAATGACACCATCGACTCATCATTATTACAATACAATATGCATGTCATCGGGATAAATTTTATCATTAGATTGAGTTCGGCTAGAGTCGCCAGCCTAAAATTACATGAAATGGAAATGAACGTATCATTTTTAATGATAATTTACTTTATTTTTTTATGGGTAATACTATTTTGATATGCCCGTTTATGTATATGCACAGTATTCAGTGTATATAATTGATGATGTATTATTTGCAATTTCATTTTATGCCTTGGATTAGACATATCAATTCATAAATTATGAAATAATCCTTAAATATAGGCCTCCGTTTTATACTAATTTTGAAATACAATTGCTTTTCTGAAAAAAAATAATTTTGCAATCATGGTATAATTTATGTTGTGTATCTAGAAGATTTTCTCTCTGCAGTAACCACACAATCACAACTTTGCCTTGCAACATCTTCTACGGCTTTTCCAGCTTCTCTCTCTTAAGATTTTAAAGTTGTGTGAGAAAGAGGTGTAATATTCAATACACGCAAGAGCATGGATACCTTTTTTCCCTATGCCTGCATGTAGCATTCCTACAAAAACAAATACTTGTGATATGACAGTAAATTATATATTTTATTTTATTCTTTTATCAGATTATATGATGATAATTATACCTATGATAGAGATCTCATACACACCTACAGCAAGTTTTGTGTTTGCATCAAATGCTCTGCTGGCATTGTCATCCAATTGGGAGTGTCTCTTTCCAGTGGAACAGAAGTCCCTTTGTTGCACTTTTTACAATTTATTTGCAGTAATGAACCAAGGCCATATCTCACTTCACCACAAATATCAGTTAATTTCAAGGGATGTCTACAAAAGTTACAGCCCTCAATGAGTTTGTCCACAACATATCCTAATTCTATTACACGTCTTCCTGTGAACCATTCTATCTGTTTATCACTTTTACTACTATCATCATCCTTTAGGGGAAATTCGGTGTCTTCTTCATCTTCTTTCTGTGCTGTCATGCTCATCCAGATAGTATGGTACATGCAATCCTACAACCTCGTCCACATCATTTGCTTCAGAGAGCCCTTGTGATTTAGACACACTGAAAATCGTCTGTTTGAAATATATTTATATATCTAGAAAATATGTCCTAAATGTGTAAAAATTTTATGAAATCAAATATAACACATGTATTTCTTCAAATTGATACGTGTATGAGGAATGATCTACCTGGTGTGTTTGTGATACAGTCTTGTTCTAGGAAGAATCGCCAGAATACGATTCATAATTTCATATATACCTATAATAAAGATTTTTTTACCGTTGTCAGCGTCTTTATTTCTCTGCTTGTTTTCTTTTAAAACATTTGCCTTCCTTAGCATTTGATTAGAAATGAATTTTCCATTTCTTCCGCGATTATTTCGCGGTGTTTCCATTGTAAACAGATTACAAATTTATCTCCAATTGCAAAAGAGCGCAAAAAGGGATATAATCAAATATAATTTTTGAAACCGATTTCGGTAAAAATACGGATTGTTTTATTGGAACTCTTTATTACGAGGAGATACAAAAAAAATTTACTTGAGGAACATGTCGTCATACCTTAACTCGATAGCACGTGAAATGCCTATTTACGAAACACATTTGGCATTCATTTCCGCAGTTAGAATTACAAATAATATTCAACACCAAAAGAGCTCATAATGTATGATAATTAGAGGTACTTTGAGAACTGGGTTCACTAAATTATCCCCCGCCGCCCATATAATCATAATATGACAAAATCCTTGTTTTGCTCTGGGAAACCCGTAATTAGTGTCAGATCAAAAGAAAAATAGGCGCACAATAGCATTATGTTATAAAGAACCTTACAAAGTATCATTAAATTTTATTCAGTGCTTCTGATAAGAAATAGATATACCCTTAAATATTATTAACAGAATGACATGCAATGTTCATATTTAGCTATACAAGTATGGGAAACCCAAAATATGTGTCCAATAAAAAATAAAGTAAAATATAATAATATTGGAAGACCCACTACCCAATGGCACCGTTACAGAATTTCTGTGAAAGTTTTAATAAATTTTATTAAGAGTTATGAGAGGAGTTTCGGAAAAGAAATGGGTACATTCCCAAGTGTAACACCCCCTCTGTATCATCTCCTCCCTCCGTATCATCTTCTCCCTTTACCCTCGAGCTCCCTCTCTAAAATCCCCTCCATCTCCACGCTACTAATTTCTTCCTTTCCCCCCCTACCATCCTCACTCTCGTTCTCTCCCTCCCTTTCTATCATCCTCTCCCTCGCTCTCTATCATCTTTTCCCTCTCCCTTCCTCTCTATCACCCACTCCCTCTCCATTCCTCTCTATCACCCTTTCCCCTCCCTTTATCCCTATCATCGTCTTCCTTTCTCTCCTTCTCTATCATCCTCTCCCTCCCTCTCTATCAGTCTCTCCCTCCCTCTTTTTTCATCATCTTTCTTCCCCTCTTCATCGTCTTTTCCCTCCCTCTCTTTAATACTCTCCCTCCCTCCCTACCATCCTCTCCCTTTCTTTCTATCATCCTCTCCCTTCCTCACTATCATCCTGTCCCTTCCTCACTATCATCCTCTTCCTCCCTTTCTATCATCCTCTCCCTTTCTCTCTATCACCCTCTCCCTCCCTCTCTATCATCCTCTCCCTTCCTCTCTACCATCCTCACCCTCCCTCTCTATTATCCTCTCCCTTCCTCTCTATCATCCTCTCCCTTCCTCTCTATCATCCTCTCCCTTCCTCTCTATTATCCTCTCCCTTTCTCTATCATCCTCTCCCTCCCTCTCTATCATCCCCCTCTCTCCCTATCTATCACCCTCTCCCTCCCTATCTATCATCCTCTCTCTCTCCCTATATCTATCATGCTGTCCCTTCCTCTCTATCATCCTCTCCCTCCCTCTCTATCATCCCCCTCTCTCCCTATCTATCACCCTCTCCCTCCCTATCTATCATCCTCTCCCTCCCTCTCTATCATCCCCTCTCTCCCTCTCTATCATCCCCTCCCTTCCTCTCTGTCATCCCCTCTCTTCCTCTCTATCGTCCTCTCCCTTCCTCTCTATCATGCTTTCCCTTCCTCTCTATCATCCTCACCCTTCCCTTCTATCATCCTTTCCCTCCTTCTGTATCATCCTCTCCCTCCCTCTCTATCATCTACCTCTCCCCCTATCTATCATCCTTTCTCTCCCTATCTATCATCCTCTCTCTCTCCCTATCTATCATCCTCTCCCTTTCTCTCTATCATCCTCTCTCTCTTTCCTTATATCTATCATCCTCTCCCTCCCTCTCTATCATCCTCTCTCTCTCCCTATATCTATCATCCTCTCCCTTCCTCTCTAATCATCCTCTCCCTTCCTCTCTACCCTCCTCTCCCTTCCTCTCTACCATCCTCTCCCTCCCTCTCTATTATCATCTCCATTCCTCTCTATCATCCTCACCCACCCTCTCAATTATCCTCTCTTCCTCTCTATCATCCTATCATCCTCTCCCTTCCCTTCTATCATGCTGTCCCTTCCTCTCTATCATGCCGTCCCTTCCTCTCTATCATCCTCTCTCTATCATCCTCTCCCTTCCTCTCTACCATCCTCACCCTCCCTCTCTATCATCCCCCTTCTCTCCCTATCTATCATCTTCTCCCTCCCTATCTATCATCCTCTCTCTCTCTCCCTATATCTACATCCTCTCCCTTCCTCTCTATCATCCTCTCCCTCCCTCTCTATCATCATCTCCCTTCCCTTCTATCATCCTCTCCCTTCCTCTCTATCATCCTCTCTCTCCCTATATATATCATATTCTCCCTCCCTCTCTATCATCCTCACCCTCTTTCTCTATCATTCTGTCCCTCCCTATCTATCACCCCCATCTCTCCATATCTATCATCTCTCTCTCCCTTCCTGTCTATCATCATCTCTCTCTCCCTATATCTATCATCATCTCTCCCTCCCTATATCTATCATCATCTCCCTTCCTCTCTATCAAATTCTCCATCCCTCTCTATCATCCTGACCCTCCCTCTCTATCATCCTCTCCATTCTTCTCTATCATCCCCCTCTCTCCCTATCTATCATCCTCTCTCTCTCTCCCTATCTATCATCCTCTCTCTCTCTCCCTATATCTAATCATCCTCTCCCTTCCTCTCTATCATCCTCTCTCTCTCTCCTTATATTTATCATCGTCTCCCAACCTCTCTATCATCATCTCCCTTCCCTTCTATCATCCTCTCCCTTCCTCTCTATCATCCTCTCTCTTCCTCTCTATCATCCTCTCTCTCTCTCCCTATATCTATCATATTCTCCCTCCCTCTCTATCATCCTCTCCATTCCTCTTTATCATCCTCCCTCTCTCCCTCCCTATGTACCATCCTCTCCCTTTCTCTCTATCATCCTCTTCCTTCCTCTCTCCAACAATCTTCTTTATTTTCTCTCCCTCATCCTCTACAAACCTTTGTCCCCATCCATTCATTCACCCCTCTTTCTATCTCATTTTTGTCCATCTGACCTAGTTACAAGTAGTCTATTGTGTCAGGAAATAAACCATATAGAGGCATTATTATACCCCCGCTTGAAAAGTGGG